GACCTTTCATACAAATGGAGTCATCCAATATGAGACTTTCGTGTCTGACTTCTTTCTCTTAGCACGTTTGCGAGATTCATCCAAATTGTAGCATGTCGCAGTACTTCCCTCTTTTTTATGGCCAAATAACATTCTATTGTACGAACATACCGTGTTTTGTTTATCCATTCATTGGTTGATGGACGTTGTCTCCAAAGCATAACTTTTTATTTAGATTTTTTAAAATTTATTTTTTAACTCTGTAAGTGTAGTGCCTCTTCAAACACATTTTAAAACTTAAACTTCTAGGAAACAGTGAATGTGGACATGGAGAAGGCAAGAGGAGGAAACGAGGGCAGATTCATTAAAAAGTTAGGAAGCTTCGGCAAAAAAAAAAATGGTGAGAAAACATTCAAAAATATAAAAGGAAAAATGGATAATAAATTTAAATTACTTGTATTGGGGGTATGCGGTTTTACCACACAATCTGTAATTCTTTCAAGCAGGAAAGCACTCCTTGCACATCCATTTGGGGTTAAGCATTGGGAGAACAGGCAATGAGTCAGGGTTGTGTTGGGAGATGGGGCTGGACTGTGCGGGTCTCTACCCCAGGCCAGGGCCAAGCCAAGGTGTGATGACAGTCATTGCTGTCACAGACTGACCAAGTTTCTTGTCTCCCCTACATAGGAGAGAGCTGGGCTTCTACTTGTGTCCACCAAGAGCACTTAAAACCCAGGGAGCACTGGACAGCTGATGAATTGGATGCTTCCAGAAGGACTAAGAGCAACCCACCTTGGGACCCCAAGGAGAGTTAGGAGCTTTCCAGGGAGGTGGCTTGTGAGACGGGCATCTTGTTCCCTTTGTGCACTGGGCCTCTGGCTAAGAGTTCTTTTGAAAAGCTGCATTTGCTGCTTAAAAACAAAAGGCCTGTAAATACTATTTTAGGAGAAAGGGCTCTGGGAATGGAGTCAGAAAACCCAGCTTTAGGTGTAGACCCTGGGTGAGTTACCTGCCCATTTTTCAGAGATAAATAATAATTCTTGATCCTCCCTGTATCTTAGAATATTAGATAATCCAGAGATAATTAGAACTTTGAGCCTTTCTGAAGAAAGATACCTGGAAACAAAGGAATATTATGATTCCTGTGGCCTGGGAGGGAGGAATGGAGACTATGAGAGAAGTCAGTATATATAACTGAGCTCAAAAAAGTATTCTAATCTTCTAGACTTTATCTAGAGGGAGAAGAAGAGAGTCTGAGAAGCTAAACAAGCTACATGTAACCACCACAAACTCACATTTATACAATTATGTATAGTCTATTGCCTCATTTGATCCTTGCCTCAAATCTGCAGAAGTAGGATTGTTCCCTTTCTGAAGAGGGAGAAACTGAGGCTCAAAAGAGATAAACGACTTGCCTAAGTAAGAACTAGGGTCAGGGCCCCTGCCCTTGCACGGTCCTGCTCCTCTCTGAGATGCATCCAAATACAACATGTTTTGGTCACCTGAGCTTGTTGGTAGCTAATCAGAACTGGAGTTCCCTGTGTCATTGTCTCGTTCGTCTGACCCTTCAGCAGTATCTCCTACGTGCCACACAGTGCTGAAAACCGCAGATAAAGACATGGAATATGGAACCAGGCTCTCAGGGAACTGCTGGTCTTCCTTGGCTCACTCTTACACCATATGTCATGGCAGAGGCTGCTAGTTGCCTACTCGTTATCCATTCTCCCATTCTTCCTTACTTGCTGAACCTTGGGTAATACACTCAGCTGAAAAACTATATTTCCCAGCCTCCCTCACAGATAGGGCTGATTAACGAAAAGTGTTCTCAGTTCCTCCTCCTTGCCCAGAAGGAGGGTGTGATGGCGAGTACTTTAGCAACCATACTGGACCACAAGGCGACCTTGAGGTACCTCGACTAAAGTGGCCACATGCAAAGATGGTGGAGCAAAAAGATGGAAGTGAACTAGGTTCATAAAACCAGCATACCAGCTCTGGCCAGCCTATCCCTAGGCCTCTTTTATGCGGGAGAAAAATAATCTCTATCTTAAATAACCCTGGTTATTTCTGGTCTCTGTTACTTACCAATACGCATGGGTTGGTTCCTTTGAGTTTGCTTACATACATGAAATAGTAAAGGCTGCCAGGCTCTGAAGAGATCGGTGTTGGCATAAAGGGGCACAGAGGCAGTTACACCCCAGAAAATAAGCAAGCAGCTTGGTGTGAGGGGCAAGAAGGCCAACCCAACCTCACAGCAGAGTCCTGCCTAGATGCCAATGAGTGTTCTGAATAAGCCTCAGAGCACCAGGCATAGGGTAGACTGTGTCCATCCAGCACTGTGGAACCTCCAGCTCACTCTTACCCTAAAGCGTACCTCAAAATCCTAGAACAAAGTCTAGCTTACTCACCACTACCTGCCGTGGCCTTCGCACTCTGGCCTATGCTCAACTCTCTACCCCCTTTCCTTACCTCCCTCCACTCTCATCAAAGTCTGTGTCCTTAGAAGTACGTGAATTGCCCCCACCCATGCACATTTTCACCACCATGCTTTTGCATATAATGTTCCTTCTGCCTTAAACACACCTCTCCCCACCTCTTTATCAGACTGACTCCCCTGCAGCCTCTGATTCTATTCTTAATTTACTCAGCACTTCCATAAGGAGCCTTCCCTGATGCCCCAAGCTGGACCAGGCCCCCCTCTGGGGTGTCCCACAGTGCCCTGGGCTTCTCCTTTCACTCGGGGTGAGAATGTCTCTTCCACTTGTCTGTGCATCCCCAGGGCAGGCACTTTTTAGATTTGCACTTGAAGGCTCTCTGCCCCAAGACTACCGATGGCCCTCAGCACACAGCACAGTTCCTGACACACACCAAGTTATTAATATAGATGATGGAAGGACCAGACCCGGAACCTAACACCCCACTAGCAACTGGCTTTATTAAACCCTGGTTTCCTACGCCCTAGATGACAAGTGCTCTTCATCCCATAATTGCTGGCTTTTCCACTCTGAGAATCATGACATGCTTTCCTGCAAATGGATCAGTCACACATGCTTTTCCTGGTTATACTTTTCCTGGTTATACTCGCTCTCCCCTCTTAGGAAATGGGTAAGGGCCTCTTTCTGATGCCCACTTCCTCCCCTGGTTCTGGGCAATGTGCTCCACTTGTATGGAGGAACACAAGTTATTAGTCAATCAACTTGGATATATTTGTGGCTCTGGTAAGAGTAAAATACATACGGGTTGAAATCACTGATGTTGAGATTTGGATAACACTCAATATTCTTTTGTCTATGCCTCCTTGCCCTCTAAACTGACAGGGGACCAATATCACTGCCCCCAAGTGATACTGGAGGTCAAGCAGAACTAGGTTGGGTTGCTGCCCGTATAGATCCAGTGCTGGTTCCTAGGGCAGCAGGAAAGACAGCCCAGGCAGGGGCCAGGAGGTCAGCGCTGCCCTTCTCCAATACTGGTCGGATCCAGGAGCACACTTACCTGGAGCAGGAGGCCCTGGAGACCCATGGATGCCTCAGCTGCTTTAATTGCCAACTGTCGTGAACTGGTCTTGGGAAGAGGAAGGTTCAGCAAAATTTTAATTACAGGCTGTCTCTCAAGCTTTTAATGACTAGGCTCTGAAAACATAGTACTTTAATCACATGGTGTTAAATCAAATCACTTTTAAGTATACTAGTGAGGTTGGATATTTAAAGGAAATGTGTTATGAAATCTTTTATAAAGCAAGTTAATTGAACTTTTGTGAAGGTTAGGGGTTTTTTGGTTTAAGAAGTTTATGCCTGAGTGAACCTAATTTAGATTTGCTGGGCACAGTATATCATTCGCTCACCTATGTTTGCCTTGTCATAGTTCTCAATGGTACCCACCTCCCCCAAATCGAGTCTGTGACAACTCCCGAGCATTTTACAATCCTCACTCACTCCCCTTTTCCTCCAGTAAAGTGTCTTCCCACTCAGAATCGTAAATACTCCGGAAATTCTGGAAGAATGTGGTAGGGGTTAATTGTGCGCTACTCTTCTTAATGCATATGCTGAAGTCCTCACGCCCAGTACCTCAGAATGTGACTGCACCTGGAGACAGTACCTCTAAAGAGGCGATTAAGGGAAAATGAGGTCATTAGGGGCCCTAATCCAATGACTGGTCTCCTTATAAGAAGAGATTAGGACACAGATACACACAGAAGAAAACCATGTGAGGACAGATAGAAGACAGCCATCTATAAGTTAAGGAGCGAGGCCTCAGGAGAAACAAAACCTGCTGACACTTTACCTGCTGACAGCTCAACCTTGGGCTTCCAATCTCCAGAATCGTGAGAAAATGAATCTCTGTTGTTTAAGCCCCCCAGTCTGTGGCACTCTGTTGTGGCAGCCAGGGCAAACTAATGCAGAAGGAGAGCGGGTCAGTGTCCTGGGACGGGGCTGCAGCTCCAGCTCAGAGTCCCCATCAGCTGTCCCTACCTACCTACCATAGGGCGTGGTGTGAGGATTAAATGCAAATGGTGGGCAGGATGTTTTGTAAACTCAAGTTCCCCCTTCTTGGTCCTCCTTTGTGTGGACTATGTCATTTACGCACAAGAAAACAAGATTTCTCTCTCACTTCCTGCTGTCTCCTAGGTAGAGGAAGCCAAAGTGAGAAAGGGGATCCTGACACCAACAGCCTGGATTATTTCTTGAATTAACACTTTACCTTTTTTTTTTGCTTTTTTAAGAAAAGCATTATCACATATATTCTTAAAGTTAAGACTCACAACAAATCTGCGAAATAGCCGAGATTAGAAATCTTATTTTCATTTTACAGATGAGGTAAACTAAGGCTCAGAAAGAGTGGGTGATTTCTTTGTGACCCCATGACTTGTTGGGCAGGACCCTGGTTCTCTAGACTGACGTTCATCTGCTTCCAACTCCCTCCCACCATCAATGACACCCTAAACACTGGAAAACACCATTACCAGCTACTTCCAGCTGCAAAACCTTTAATGGCTCCCAGGTGGGGACCACGTCAAGCCTGCACTGGCCTACACTGCCCCCTTATCCCATCCTTCCAATCTGTCACCATTTCCAACTCCATGTGACAGACCGGTCATGCTGCCTGATGGACACAAGCCATGCTCACATGTTACCACCTCACTGAGAACACCTTCCCCACTTCCTTGTGGCTAGCCTAGGGCCACGTCCTCCAGGAAGTCTTCTCTGACTGTTCTGAGTTCTTTCCACCAGCTCTCAGGCCCAGCCACATGAAGTGACTCTGAACAGACTTGCCCTTATTTTGTTTGCAAATCGCTTAGCCATGTTTGTCCCCAGTTCAGGGTGCACACCAGCCCTGTGTACCCAGACACAAAGAAAATAACACTTGTTGCTCTGTCAGAAAATCAGCCATGGATAAGTTACTTCTGGAATATAAACATGTTCAGAAATAGCTGTTTACAAGCTCAACTTTGTAAATAGAATCTCATTCTTCCCTGACTTCTGCCACATTGCAAGAGTGCTGTATGTCCACCCTGTCTGACTGGCCTCAGGTGACACTGCTTCCCTCTGTCCCTGGGCATCCCAACTACCCCACTGCTCCTGCCTCTCCTCACCATGCTCATGAACCTGAAACCAAAGTCTACATGAACTGCAGGATTTATTGTTTAAAGAACTGCAGGTCTTTCTTTAAAGATGTCCTCTCGTTATAAGACTAGTCATCCAGGACAAGAATTTTTGTCTGTTTTCTTTACTAGTTATATTACCAGTTCTTAGAAAAAAGCCTGGTATATAGCTGCTTCACAAAAATATCTGCTGAATAAGTTTGTTGAATAAATGAGACTATTAATTCTTAGACTTTAAAGAAATTTAATGACTCCAAATTTAATGAATCCAAATCTACAGTCTCTCAGCCAGGCCTTGAGCTAGGTAGGCTCCTGGCCATGGGGTACTGTAAGCCAAATAGGGGTGCCTAGGAAGCACTGTCCTTAAGCATAACTCCAGGATTATTTATCCTTTAGAAAGGTCCCTCTCTTGTCATCTACCCAAAGCTATGCCCAAGGGGGTTTCCACAGCCTTTCCAAAGCTATCATTTCCTCCTGATAAGGCAAAGTACCGGAACTCCCACCCCAAAGGGAAATGCTGAGGAAGAGGCTGGCCTCAGAGGCTGCAGCTGCTGTCCCAGCTGTCACCTCCAAAACTAAGCAGTGGAATGGGGTGGCTTCCCATAGCATGGGAAGGAAGTCCCTCTATGTTGTGGCTGGGGGACCTCTCCTCTACCCCCAATCCTCGTGAGGGCAATCCCCACACACAAGGAGCCCGCCTTGGCCATGAAAATCTCAACTCCTTCCTCTCTAAGTGCCTCGCCCCAGGTGCTGGCCAGTCACAAGACCTCGTCTAGGGTTTTACCTCCTCTCTCTTCCTTATCAGCTTTGGGGAGGCCTACTAGGTGCCACTCACTGAGAGGGTCGCAAAGATGAATCGAGTTCCAGGAGCTCCCAGTCAGGAGAGGGAATTCTGCCACAAGCAAACAGGAGGCAGCCCAGCCACTGTGACTGGGGCTGAGCAGTTTGCACGATGGGAGGGAGAGGGTACATTAGCCCCTAGGAGATCCCTGGAATGTCCTGAATGGGGGCAGCACACCTGAAGAGTACGAAGCAGAGGGTCCCAGATAAGCCGGAAATGTAGGAGATGGAGATTCCAAAATCCCCACCCTGTGCCAGGGTCAGAAGGGCTCTCTCCTTCCTGGATAACAACCCAAGTCCCCCAGTCTCAGGTCAGGCCCTTTGAAGGCTTCAAAGCCATCCTACATTACTGAGTCCATACATGATCTGGCCTGTGACCAGCCTCACTGCCTTTCTCTCCCTTGCTCACTCTCCTCCAGCCCCAATGGCCTCCTGCTGTTCCGCAAACAGACCGTGCACCCAGCCCCCTCTCACATCCCACCTCCTTCGGGACTCTGCCCTTACCACCCCTCCAGCACCCCCAGTCCCTGGCCTGCTTTACTCCCCTTCATGGCATGCACTCGTGTGCATGTGCTATGTGCTCGTTCGTGGTGGGAAAGCTCCAGGGCTTAGCATATTGCAGTATGTACTGGCTGAATAAATGAATGAATGAACTCCTCCTTCCTTTATACACCACACACTTCCCCTGCTGATTGTTTTAGTCGTGTGTGTGTGTGTGTGTGTGTGTGTGTGTGTGTGTACACGTGTGTACACTTGGTGACACAGAAGGGGGTGAGGCAGGGCCGAAAGCCAGAATGCCCAGTGACTGGTGCGTACACTTGGTGACACAGAAGGGGTTGAGGCAGGGCCGAAAGCCAGAATGCCCAGTGACTGTAGCCTTGGTCTGTGCAATGGGCTGGCAACAATGGCTGTGAGTTAAAAAGTCCACAGAGCACACCAAGATCCCTGAAGGAAGGATCAGCTCTGTAAGCAGCCTCATGTCCACCCCTGGCCTCCTGGTTGGCCCACCCTGGAGAGGAGAGGGCATGACTTCAGGAAGCTGGACCAGGAGACTCACGGTATAGGAGAGCCACAAAGTCACACACGCGGACCCAACCTTCCCACCTGGCATGATGTTTATCTGGGCACAGGTTTTATCTGCATTTCTGCATGGTGTGCCCAAGCCATGTGATCTGTCTATCCCCCATAGTGCCTGGCACATAATGCGGGGGTGGGGGGGTGGCTACTATGACCCCAGCTAAGAGCTCACACTGGCCCTATGAACTAGGCACTCTTATTATTCCCTTTTTACAGAAGTAAATCACAAGACACATTCCTGGTGTCTACGGCTGGTTCTGTGGTGGTAGAAAGAGCTCAAGAGAGTAAGAGGACGTGGCCTCCAGTCCCAGTGTCAGCTGTGAAGTCCTGCATGAGACTTAATTTCTTGGAGTGTGTTTGCAAAGAGGCCATAATTATAATACCTGCCTATCCCACATATGAGGCATGAGAGTGCCTTGGCAAATTCATAAACTGTGACACATATCAGTGGCAGCTGGTGTTATTTAAGAGTACGACAATTCTGGTGATTTCTCAGCTGTTTCCTTTGGGAGAAAGGAAGGAACAGCCCTGGGCAGCTGGGAAACACCAACTAAAACAAGATACTCTGCCGAGGAGTGTCGCTGATAAAGGTGGTGATACCATAGACCTGCGGAGCTCGGTGTCTCTGGAAGACAGTGGTGAGACTGGCAATAAACAGAATTTGAAACAAATGACAAACCCAGCTAACGAAGTATACAAAATTATTTAACATAACTGTACATTGATCAATTTCTATTAAAGGGGGAAAGGGATATAATATGCAAAACTTATATAGTATTCAAGTGAAGAGGGAGATTGATAGATAATTCCTCCCAAATGTATTTTAATGTAATGGTGGCACCATATTTTCTATAACACTTTTTAAGTTGTTAAAAACACAAGCACACACTAATGAGGCATCTTCAATGAGAACCAAGCTTCTATTTTCCAAAGTATCCCCCGAAATGAGACAGCTTCATTTTATTCAAATTATCTGCTGTTTCTAATATATTGTTAGATGAATGAGGTCAAATGTCCTTCTCGGACAAGCTGGAGGAGAGCCAGGCATTGGGGAACTCCATCGAGGCCCAGGGAGGGGGCTGTCTGTAGCACATAGAGCTGACCCAAGATGTAGCAACAGCCTGTACCCACCACCCCACCCACCCCAGCAAGGCCTCCATCCCCCATGGGCAGTCTCACCCCCAGGCCCGCAAGGCCCCTGCTTGTATTCCAGGTGACAGCAAAGTACTTGAGAAAAGAAGGAATACCATCCACTTCCACAAAAGCCCATTTCGCTTGGGATCTTCTGACCTCTGCGACAGTCGATCAACTCCCATCATCCCTAAAGCAGACAGGACTGAAGGGAGAGTGACCACCAGGAGGGAGCCTGTCAGAAAACCTGCTCCTGAAAACAAAGAAGACTCCAGTTTGGATAAACAAAGGGAAAACCAAGAGTGGCCTGAAAGCAGTCAAAAAAATTATGTATGTGTGTGTGTGTGTGTGTGTGTATCTTTAAAAGCCTTCTCCCTAAATTGAAAATGTCCAACCAAAAAGGAACTGGGATTCTCAGTTGTCAGGAAGATCTTTTCACCATTTGGGGGGGCGGGGTGGGGAGCAGTGTGCCACTGGCTGGGGGAAGGGGTAGGGCCAGGGACCCCAGGCAGGAGGGAAGCACCTAGAAAGAGCCTATCCTTGGGATGGGGTGGGAGGATGGTACCAATAGGCAGAGACACAAACACAGGAGAAAAGGCAGGGACAGCAAAACAATGCAGAAGAAGACACCCTTCTGTAAAAGGCAGAGCGGAGGTTCTCCTGGGATCAGGAATCCTCTTAAATCACTACATTGAATATGTACCATTGTGGAGAGCAGCCAAGACACCAAAGAATAAACTCTTCCCCAAGATCCCTGTTACCTTCAAACCACTACCAAAATCCAGATCAGCTTTCCACTGGTAGTAAAAGTGAGTCACCCTCACTGCTCCTATTCCTAGGAGTGGTTTAGCCCCAAGGGGGAGGGAATGCTGTACTTCATCCTCTAAGTCTCCCCCTTATGAGAAAGAGGGCTCAGACAAGATGGCTAACCTGCATATAGGGAAGACCCCTCTGCAG